ATAAATTAAAAAATGTTGAACACAGATTTTTCCCTTATCACCAATGCAGGCAACTCGTTTGGTGTTTAGGGTTTGCTTCGGTAGTTCTTCACTTTAGCTGCAAAGGTAATTTAGTTAACGGAAGCATGTAGACATCCTTGTGAATTGTGTGTAAACTGTATGCATAAATAATTACATGCTTGCCTCAAACTGCACTGCACAAAAGTACGTTGCATAGCTACACAGCAGTTGCAGCTTTCTTAAAGACTGGATTGTGCATGGAAGCCTTAAGCCTCCTTAAACTGTTTTGAAGTATCCATTGTTTATAAGGCTGCATATTAAATTATGTTTTCATTGCTATGAGAGTCCATGATAAACACCTTGTTAAGGGCTGTGATGACAGTACAGATGAAATTTCTTCATGCAGTATGCAAAAGTGAGATTATTAGATGGACAAAAAAGTAACCCAGCAAGTTCCTCACTGTGCTGGGCTTGAACTCTGCTCTGCCACATGGACAGAAAGTGACTTAACCTTTCAGTTAAACAGTTACAAAACACACGCATGCACAGCTACTCCATCCTGAAATACTAGTTATAAAAATGCTTACAATGTGATGATGGTTCTCACTCCCAGTGCTGTACATAGAATGTATAGACTGTATATTTAATGTATGAAGCAGTAGTGGCAATCACAACAAATTGCATCATCATAAGGAGCTTTTTGAGAAATTGATAATACACACACTCACACACACATAATGTCATATACACACCGATCAGGCATAACATTATGACCACCTCCTTGTTTCTACACTCATTGTCCATTTTATCAGCTCCTCTTACTATATAGGTGCACTTTGTAGTTCTACAGTTACAGACTGTAGTCCATCTGTTTCTCTGCATACTTTGTTAGCCCCCTTTTACCCTGTTCTTCAGTGGTCAGGACCCCATGGACCCTCACAGAGCAGGTACTATTTGGGTGGTGGATCATTCTCAGCACTGCAGTAACCTGACGTGGTGGTGGTGCGTTAGTGTGTGTTGCGCTGGTCTGAGTGGATCAGACACAGCAGTGCTGCTGGAGTTTTTAAACACCTCAGTGTCACTGCTGGACTGAGAATAGTCCACCAACCAAAAATATCCAGCCAACAGCGTCCTGTGGGCAGCGTCCTGTGACCACTGATTAAGGACTAGAGGATGATTAGCTCACACTGTACAGCAAGAGATGAGCTACAACGCACGTGCGTCTAATAGAGTTGACAGTGAGTGGACACAGTGTTTAAAAACTCCAGCAGCACTGCTGTGTCTGATCCACTCAGACCAGCACAACACACACTAACAAATAGTACGTGCTCTGTGAGGGTCCATGGGTGTCCTGACCGCTGATGAACAGGGTAAAAGGGGGCTAACAAAGTATGCAGAGAAAAAGATGTAAGTGGAGCTGATAAAATGGACAGTGAGTGTAGAAATAAGGAAGTGGTCATAATGTTATTCCTGATCGGTGTATAACGTTTTTATTGGTCTCTATTGAAACATTGACAGTGAAAATATACATTAGTGTTTGTGTTTGTAGTTTACTGCAGGCAGGTTAAAGAGCACAATATCTGTGGCACTTTTCTATAATAACTCGTTTTAGTCATCGCCCCCTTAAATAGGAGAAAATGAAAGTGCTTTCTGGTCAAAAACTTTGATCTAATCTTACTTTGTTCTTGATAAGGTTTTGTAGCCTTTGGAATGGTTTGGTTTGCTATTGGTTTAATGAATCGTGTGTTAACTTATTGTTAAAATTATAAAATAGCTAAAGGTTACATTCTGAATAACTGATATAATCAGTAAGCCATTCCATGCATGGAAGGCTGCTGTGCAGCTTTGGCAGTATAACAAGTACTATAAACAACTGATAAGGGGAAAAAAACCTTCCATGGATGGTGCATTTTCATACATTTACAACGTCCAACTTCGTTGATAATCATAATATATGAAGACTTCAGCCTAACCCACATGTTCTTAGAGTTAAAGGGGTTAAAGCCCAGGGGTGGCGCCACACCTCCAAAAGTTGAGCGGAAAAAGCAATTAGGCCACTGACTAAAACTGCCTTTCATGTCATGCTAATGACTGTACTATAAACCTGTTCAAAAGTCGGTAGTAACTAGTTACATTTATGCAAGTACATGTACATCAGTAAAATATTGATGGATTTTACTCTCGTGAGTATTTTCAAATCGTATTACTTTTACTTCTACTGAAGTATATTAGTGAGTAAAAGAATCTTTTACTCTGTTACATTTCATCCATTTGAATTTAGTTACTAATTCCTTTTTTGGGTTTAATTCCAGTTTGTTTTGATGGTGCCAATCCCAAAAAGAGAAGAACAGAGCGGCACAATCTTTAGCTTTTATGATGATAAATGCTGGATGTACTGAGAAGTTCCTCTGCAGTACTCAGTACTTAAGTAGATTTTGACCTGCTTCTTTTGTATTTCTACTCAAGTTGATTTGGGGAAGGTACTTTTACTGGTGTAATTATTTTATGCAAGTATCAATACTTCTACTTGCGTATTGATTTAGTCCACTCTACCCACCTCTGAACCTGATCATGAACAGTGTCAGTGTTAGTTTTGATGCTGCTTCAGTAGCTGCAGCCTCAGATAGCAGTATTTGTTAGCTCTCTCTGAGGAACATCGGGCTGTTTTCTTAGCCAGTTCATTTTCCAAAGACCCACCACAGTTTGTTTTTTAAATTTCGTTCGGATGGTGGACTGTAAGGGCTAAAGTGAACTAAATTACATCTCCATGAAAACAGAAAAACAGAAAACAGAGACGCTTGTCATCTATATGAATACAAAATTACATTTAACCAATCAGGTCGCTGATGCTTGGCCAAAAATTTGCTCCACGGTCCATGCACCAAAATCTAATGCATATCATTATTTTGTTGCTTGTCTATTTACAGCAGGTCGCAGAGCAGGCATGATATGAGCGTTTGTGAAGAGTAACATGTTAAAGCAGCAGGTTTCGCAGATGGTACAGTAAAAATGTGCACTGGAAAAAAATAACTTGCTCTAGTGTTGAATTTCCTTATGAATTAGCATGGTTCAGTGGTTTGGTGCTTCCTGAATTCAGGTGGAGTCGCACGTCAAAACCGAACTAAAGAAAAGGTTCAACAGGTCCGCACCCACCACGGCAGGTCTGAAAACACCTCAGCTAAAATGGAGATTCTGATTGGCTCTGCCGCTCAGTTTTACTCTGTTCATGCTGGTCAGCGCTTCATGCAGTTTAGAGACAATGGAGGTTTTTATGTCTCGTCCTGAACTCAAAAAGTAGTGGGGGCGCTGCCCAGTAGTGGGGCAAATGCCCACTCACCACCATGGTTCCGGCGGCCCTGTTAAAGCCTTTATACTTCTGTGACAAAGGAACGTAGGGGTAGCTAGAAGATGTTTATACCTTCAAAAATGACACTTTTTATGAATCTCTAGTGCTGTGCAATCAGGCAAACATAGATTGCTTAACCTTGTAGAAATTTTCAGCAGCGGTGAACTGTGACCGTTAGAGCTAGGCCTTCAGTTCAGACCACAAATGTCAAGACTTGGTCAATAAAATGTGCAAAAAAATGCCTCTATGATTATACTAATACCTGTTAGTGGACCTGTAGGATTTCTTTTTTTAATAACTTTTTATTAATTTTGATAGTAAACACACAAACAACATTCTCTGCATATCAATGCCACAGAAGGATTAGGGGGGGGCTCTTAAAAAAAAGGAATTTGTGTATATGTACATACATACATATACATCATACACATGCACACATACATACACACATTCAACATAAGCAAGATGTCTACAGAGTCTTAACATAATTATTGGCCTCAGTCCAAAAGCGAATCGTTGCTGCCTTGGCATTTTAGAATCTGGCAGTTGCCTGTTCTAGAATAAGAATGTCCAGAAAATATCCACACCATAACTGATAAAGAAAGGTTAGTTTCAAACCAGCCCTTCAAGATTGATTTCTTGGCCGCAGTTAAGGCTGCCATCATGACTTTTCTTTGCTGTATAGTAAGCATCAAATTAGAATCATCAAGAAGTAAAAGTAAGGCTGGAGACAAGGGAATGTTGACGGACAAATAACCAGACAAGATTCGTATAACATACAGCCTGTATGTATATCTGTAGGATTTTTAGTAGTGTGTTTGCACTAATCTAATGCTGGTGCACATGGAATTTTTTTTATCCTTTCTGCATTAAACACATTAAACATATTTGAAGCTTGTAAATGACTTTTCATATTTTTTTTAAGCTTATAACAGCCATAAACCTATATTTTACTCTCTGTTTATAGATAGCAGTACATTGTACAGTGTCAGAAACCACACAAACATGGTGGCTTAACAGCTCAACTTGGTTTGAGGGAAGTGTGTGATGATTTATGCATGCAGTTTGCCTGGTGCTAATTGGTGGAGTTTAAACTTGCTCCAGTCTTTGCTACTTCAGCCTTGAAGCTCCAGTGAAAAACTAAAAATGCAGACATCAGACACCAAACATGGCTTGGTCGATCAGCTGCATTTGGAATTAGTGAAAAATGATGTACATTTTTGACCAAACCACTGATTTAAGAGTCAGACAGACAGACCCACATACCAAAGCCCAAAAGTTGATGCTCAAATACAGAAAAAATGTTCTTTATTTCTCCACAATCTCTGCTCTGGTGTTTGGACAGCACTCGTGGGAGAGATGGCTGTGGGCAAGGTTAACTGCTTTAATTACCGCTAGGCCTTCGTTCCTGCCAGTGCTTGGAGGTCAGCTTTAAAAGATAGTTTGGAGCCTGAGCCGAGGCCACTGGGGGGCCACAGCTCCTGTGACGGATACTAAATCTGGCCAGGCCTCTGGCACTCATCAGCCAGGCTCATATGCAATGTTTGACCCTTAATCTGCAGGTTATCTCCACCCTCTCGGCCACGCTATGTCTTTCTGCCACCTTCCAACACCCTGCATGTGTGTGTGTGTGTGTGTGTGTGTGTTTCCACAGATCTGGGTGTTTTCAGCACTCGAGCGAGAGGAGGTGTGTCGGTGAGAGAAGGCCAGGGAGTAGTGCTTATGTGTACCCCTCCTCCACATTCACCAGGTAAGCTCTCTCTCTCTCTCTCATTCCCTCTCGAAGTTAACATGAATCAGAAATCATAATGCCTTTTCCATCCGTAATATGGCACTTATGGTTGAAATGCAGTATGAGAGAGGGTCTTTGAGCTAGCTGAGCATTGTTGTGGGGGTGGAGGGAAAGAGAGGTGACGCATGATATTATTTGTTAATAATTGTCCCTTTTTAAAGAAAAAAAAAAACAAAATAAATGATTGTAGAAACAACAAGTTGCAGATGCTCCCAGACGAGCGTACTGCAAAATACAATTAACCAGTTCAGTTAATTTCCTACAATGTGGGATGTATAAAATCCTGAGCAGGACCAGCTGACTTCATTTTTGGATCAAGATGCCAAGAGGAAAAGATCTAGGTGACCATCTCCACCACCATCAAAACTGCAACTGAGGGAAAAATGATCTACTCTTTCCAGTACAGTTCCAGGGACTTGTAGAATGTATGCAAAGGCACACTGGAGCTGTTCTGTTGGCTTGTTTTGGCCCCATGCCTGACTTACGTTGTTTTTTCTTTTAACTTCTGACCCACCTGCATGTTGTAGGGGTTGCACTAACTAGCCGAATAGTTGACTAATATATCCACTCATCAGTGCTGTGTGTAGCTGTTGACTAGTTGAGGAAATTGTCCAAGAAACATTTGTTACATTTACATCATTTGTCAGATGCTCTTATCCAGAGTGACTTACAGTTTGATCATTTTACACAGGTAGGTGAAGGCAGTGTTAGGAGTCTTGCCCAAGGACTCTTATCGGTATAGTGTAGGGTGTTTACCCAGGCGGGGCTTTGAACCCCAATCTACAGCGCAGAAGGCAGAGGTTTTACCCACTGCACTACAAACAGTAGAAATGGTATTGAACAGTAAGGCTGAGCATCTGAAAGAAACCTTTCTGCTACACACTAACCTCAAAAAAACTGTTAGCACTGCTACACAGCTCAAAACCAATTCCACTGCAGGCTGTGTAGGACAGCAGGCTAAAATACATAGCCAGAGCAAAAAAGAGAAATTTGACTGACATGCAGAACAGCCAACCACAAACCCCCTTTTTTGCACAGTGTCTAGAGGCAGGCAGGTCAGAACTTTGTCAGCCAAAACAGACCTGGGGGAAATTAAGAGATGTACCAAAATGGCAAACACAAGGATATGTCTTTTACTTGCTACTAAACACTTAAAATAAAGTTATTGACTAACTTTTAAAAACATACTGTATGTTTTTATATAATAATTACTTTCAAAATGTCAGCGAAATATGCAAATACATGACAAAGATGTGCTAAAGTAGTGCTGCATACAGTAATATTATTGCCATTGGTGCTATGATATTAAATGTTAAATGAGAAATTTCAACATGATTCTGTATAAATTAGAGAAACTCAGTTTCAAATGGTGCAATAGTCAGGGGACCACACTAATATCACAATCGCACCGGGGTTTTTTAATCAAACCAGACCTGCCAAGCCCTAACACACCCTAAGTGTGCATATCAGCATCGTTCTGTTTACATCAAGTATTATCCTGCATCAGCCTCAGCTTCTGAATAGTGCTTTACTCTCCACTCTCAGTCTCTCTTTTACTTCATTCACTTCTCTCTCGTATTGCTGTCTCCTCTCTGCGCTTGTCTCGTGGAAGCCTCTGTAATTGAGGGTCAAACGGGGTAAAATGCAGAGGGACAGGAGTAAACATGAAGAAAAGAAAACGGATAGGGACAGTGGACCAGAAAACTAACAGCCAGGGACAGCTGAGCACAGAGCTATCAGATAAAAGACTTCTGGCAGTCCAGCCATTTTTAAGCACTTTCTCCCCCAGAGACCACGACTAACCCTGGAACTGCAGTCAGAGACTCACATGAGAGGAAAATGCAATTCCGGCTGTGCGCCTGTCACTATTGTAACATCAACCAACACTCTAAAACATATAATCAGTGTCTCACAATTAGGGCTGCAATTAACAACTATTTTCATAATCGATTAGTGGGTTCATGACGACTTCGACTAATCAATTAGTCGGGAACTGAAAACCTGAAGATATTCTGGAAGTGTTTTATTCAAAAAAACTAAAAATGCTCAAATTAATCGTCCTTTATACAAAAAAATCTATAAAAGTCTTCTTATTCATACTTTCTAAAAAGGGCTTTTACCAAACTCACGGCACCAGATTTGCTGCGTCACTCCTGAAAACTATATTTCTGAAAAGTACAGAAACAGTAAAGCGATAAAACCAATAAATCTTACATTGCAGCCCACGATAGGCTGGTTTTCTGTATTTCTCCTCTAACGACAAATAAAAAATAATTAAAAATAAATGAAAAAGCTCCTGTGTGGTCGATAACATCATGTTATGAAATTTTCATATTATGGATCAGACTGACAGTATGACAGACTGACAGCCCAGTCATCAACTATGTCAAATACAGAGAGCTAAGGCAGCTTATCACTCAGAGAATGTCAATAATGATGCGTGTGGTGTCAGCATGTTCAAATATATACATTTTAACAGTCCTGATTCAAATATTGAAAATAAAGTTTAAAAAAGAGTTTGATTTAAAGCTCTGTGGTCTTATAGATGAATGAGAAACAAAAAAAAACAAAAAAAAACCCAAATAAAAACATCTGCGCTAGTCTGTGTGCGTTAGTGTAGCCATCACTGCTTATACTATTATACTAAGACAGAATTAGCTGACAGTGATGTGCTTTTATACTGAGATATTTATAAGCCTCCTCCATTGGTATCTTAAATGCAGTGTAAATTCTCTCGTGTACTCGAGACCTGACAGTCTTGCTGCCCATTGAGTTCAGCTTTACACATTGTGCAGGAAACCGTCTTTTTAGTGATGCTAAACTGAAGTGTTTTCATATGTATTTATTTACACAGATCAGGCATAACATTATGACCACCTCCTTGTTTCTACGCTCATTGTCCATTTTGATCAGCTCCACTTACTATATAGGTGCACTTTGTAGTTCTACAATTACAGACTGTAGTCCATCTGTTTCTCTGATACTTTGTTAGCCCCCTTTTACCCTGTTCTTCAGTGGTCAGGACCCCCATGGACCCTCAGAGCAGGTACTATTTGGATGGTGGATCATTCTCAGCACTGCAGTAACACTGACGTGGTGGTGGTGTGTTAGTGTGTGTCGTGCTGGTGCGAGTGGATCAGACACAGCAGTGCTGCTGGAGTTTTTAAACACTGTGTCCACTCACTGTCCACTCTATTAGACACTCCTACCTTGTCAGTCCACCTTGTAGATGTAAAGTCAGAGACAGCAGCTCATGTGTGTCAGCATAGTTTGTGTTGGTCATCCTCTAGTCCTTCATCAGTGGTCACAGGACGCTGCCCACAGGACGCTGTTGGCTGGATATTTTTGGTTGGTGGACTATTCTCAGTCCAGCAGTGACACTGAGGTGTTTAAAAACTCCAGCAGCACTGCTGTGTCTGATCCACTCAGAGCAGCGCAACACACACTAACGCACCACCACCACTTCAGTGTCACTGCAGTGTGCACCTATATAGTAAGTGGAGCTGATAAAATGGACAACGCGCGTAGAAACAAAGAGGTGGTCATAATGTTATGCCTGATCGGTGTATTTATTTAGGGGTCCGTGCAAGACCATGCAATGCATCTGTAATTCTCATGATGTAAATGAACAAATATCTTCAGGCCAACTAATCGATAACTTAATACGTTGACAACCATTTTTTATTACGAGCAGTGATGTTGATTAGCTGCTGAAGCGCGAGTCATAATATTGATTTTGCATTCCAGACTCCCTGCCATATTTTGTTGTGCTGCCAGCTTGATAAGAGTGACCTTGTTTACACACGTGATTACGAATGAGCGTGTGCCATTAGAGGTATGTTTATGACATTTTCAAGCCTTGATGAAGTGCAGAGGGACAGCATTATTGTTATTCGAGGACAGCATGGGGAAAGAAGAAAAATGGCCAGTCTAAATTCGCTCTCCCATCAGCCGTATGAGCTGTAAATTCCGGACTGTGCTGACACAGTTTCAACCCAGCCCTTATCTGTGTCTCCCCCCCAGCTCTGAGATTTATTTACGTTAGATAGCATCGGCAGGCCTTTTTCACCGAGCCCTGACCGGCTCTGCTTAGAGTATGTCATCTGATCATCAAAATCCATTATTTTATTACGCTGCTGCTCTCGACAGTAAAGTGTGATTGATTTTCTTAGTCCTTCTGTCCGGACACCAGAGATCTCGGCGGCAGACACAGTGCACCACCCTTCTCTGTAAACCCAGTCACAATGCTGCGGTTTCATAAAATGACAACACTAATTACGTAAATCAGGTTTTTTCATATTTATACTGCATATTTTTTATGTTGATTGCATATTTTCAGTAAATAATTATCTCCTTCTCCATCTGATATTTGATGTATGCGCATTACTATGTGGAGAGAGAGAAAAGTCTAGTCATTTGCAAGCAGCAGCAAAAAGCAGTTGGTCTAGTGGAGTGTTGGCTAGATAGCTATGTATTTTCAGCATTGCAATTATGGAGAGGCTAATAAAGGCTTTATGTTTTAGGAAATGCCTCAGAACAAAAGCTGCAGCAGTTTTTTTTTTTCTTTTTATCTTTTCAGTCACTATTTTTGTTGATTGTTGAGATAATTTTAAAGGTGTTGCATGCGAGGTGATAAATGTTTAATAATTATTTACATTAGAGTTTAAATGCTTGTAAAGGACATGTATGCTGTGATTTTGTTGGATTTCAGCAACTCTTCTTTTTCTGTCACTGAATAATTTTAATACAGAATTCTTTGTCCAAAAATAGGGTGGGCAGTATATCAATATTTTATTGTTATCATTATACATTATGCCACAATATGCTTCTCCAAACAGTATGAATGTTGTCAGTACTTAAAGAACACTGACCGACCGAATATTTAATCTTGAGTAGAGCATAATTAGTCCTCATTTATTGTATTTAATGTAAGAGAGTATGTGAAACACCAAAGATAG